GGAATGCCTTATAAGAGGGGTCAATGGGGCACCCCTACCATATAAGGATGCTTTTTACCAGGCAACATGGCAAATGGAGAGAAAGTAATGATGAGTGGAATCTACGTGTCACAAAAGAATCTCAGACTTTACCACAGGACAGTATTACAGTGGAGGTTGAAGAGCACAAGTCCTGTGCTTCGTTAATGCTGTGAATTCTGAAATGTTCTTTTGTATTGCATTGCATTAAAAATTACAATAAAGAGTTAAAAACCTCCTGGCTGGGTCCCATGTGCAGAACTGAGAGTGGCATCAAGGCAGACCCAATTCTCAGTCTCCTGTGCACCAGGGGGGTCTCTAGAGCCAGCAAACAGCCAGGCATCTGGGCTTCTTCCATGCTCCACCTCCCTCTGGAAAAACATTCCTATCTAACACTATTTTAAAATAACAAAAACTTCCTCACAGTCTGAGCAAGCTCTGCTCACAGGGCAACACACCCATGATTATTGCAACTGAACTCCAGTCCATTGATCCTGACGCTAAAAGCCACCATGTGTAGGACAGCGCTGCCGCCATGTATAGATTCTGCCCCCCAGGCCATTCCTGGATGAGGGGGAGAATTCTACACTGGTACAATACATTACCCAATAACCCAGAAAGGTAGGCTCTCTGGATTTCAGAACACTATAGCCACCAGGAATCGCTAAACTTACTCCCTCACCAACCTGAGATTAGAGATCCCCAGAATCTCAGGTGGCATGTGGGTTTTACACATTAGCAACTCAATCTAGAGCTGCACAGTTAATCTTACACAGATAGCACAATTGGTCAGCAGTTCAGGCTACAGGAGTTTAGCTTGAAGTCCAGTTACCACAATCCAGACACTATTTATAAACAAGAATAAAGTTTATTCAGTACAGACTTAGCACAGACTAATGAGGATTCCAAAATAACCAGCCTAGGCATGTTTTGCCTTAACTACACAGTAAGAAGCATATTTACCAAGTCAGGAACAGTTATCAGTCTTTCCCTGTCAACCCCTTCCAAGTAGTCTTCAGTTTCCTCTCCCAGTTCCGATGCCCTTTCCCCCCGCCGTTTTTTGCCCGCCGCGGGTGATCTCCGGCTTTTTTTATTTTGAACGTTCGTTTTATAGCGCTATAATGGTATAACACTATAATGTCAGATGGACAGCATACAGAGCAACAGAGCGCATAGCAGGAACAGGAGAGAGAGAGTTCTCCCATAGGGTTTAAGCAGATATAGGGTAATTCAGTCTTCAAATTAGCCCTGGCCAGGGGCCAACTGAAGGAGACCTGGGAGTGCCCAATGGTAGGGTTGCCATGGGTACAATTTCTGAATGGTCAGTTGTCTTGAAGGCCACACCTGCAGTTATGTGATCCCCAAACTCTAACCACTCCTCCATGCTTTACGTGCCTCCTGACATGTAGGCACAGCCAGGCACCATCAGGTCTAGCTCTTCCATGTAGAGTGTGAAGAATGTGTGGTTATATGGCAGGCAATTGAGCTTCTCTGACCAAATGTTCAAGCCATTTGGTTTCAATAGGAAATCAACACAGCAGGGACACATTCCAGGGGGAGGCAGGGGTTTATAGGAATCAATATTTCTATACACATGTGACCCCCACCCCATCCTGAGCAAGCATTCTAAAGACTTATTTTGTTGGGTAGCCGTAGGCATGCCTGGAATGCCATGTGTGGCTATCCCAGCTGTTCCAGGAGGCTGCTGCCTGATAGAAGCCCTCCAGGGGCCTGATCTGGCCCCTGGGCCACATGTTTGACACCCTGTTCTAGCTGTATCTGAAGAAGTGAGCTGTGACCCATGAAAGCTAGTATCCTGCCACAAATTTTGTTAGTCATTAAAGTGCTGCTAGACTCTTGCTCCCTTTCACTAATAAGGAATACAAGGTGTGCTGTTAGGTTTATTCCCCCCATTTGTTAGAAATGGATAGGGGGATCCATCTCTCTCTCTTTCTCTCTCTGTCTCCCCCCCCCCCCCCCAAAAAGGTTACTTTCCACAAAAGATTGAACA